AGGGGGTCTCATACATATACCAGTCCGTGCTGAACCTTGAATTTGAGAGAATGCATGAACGATGCGACGCCTAGCGGCGTCGATGCGAACTGCCGGTAATACAGTTACCGCGCTGGCGTGATGATGATGCATGTACCACTGATGGCGCAAACCGCTACATTTACCATTGACGAATTTCCATTACAATTCACACTGAACAACATTGGCTGAAGGTAGAAAAATTCCATACAAATTTTATCCTTCATGAGTTATTGGCAGTTTCCATTACGCCTGTATGGAAAAGGTTGTTATTCGAATCTTGCCATTGTGTTTCCATTTATCTTATTGCCACTCAATATTTTCCATTAACTTTTCCATATAATTCGCATTGCAAGTTCCATACACAAGTTTTAACCTTCATAAGCCATTAGCAGTTTCCATTACGCCTGTATGGAAATAGTTGTCATTCGAATCTTGCCATTGCGTTTCCATTCATTTTATTGCCACTCAATATTTTTCATTAACTTTTCCATATAATTCGCATTGCAACTGTAGGGCAACTATACATTCCCACTGACCGCCATTGAGCATTCAAGGGCACATTTTCATAAAGGGAGAGTGCTAATGGAACTTCTCTAGCTATAAATATTTCATGTACCTTATACCTTGCATTTTTATGTAGCCAGCTCTCCGTCTAATAGAAGTAATGAAAAAATTAGAAGAGGAAGAACCAACAAAAACTATAACAGCATCGAAAAAATAGCGTCAGCTCTAAACGAATTGGCAAAGGCACCATCAATAATTCCACCTCCATTCCCCGCTCCTTTACCACAAAACACTCCGCAGTCAAAATTGACTTTGAAAGAAAAAAAAATTCGAGATTTTCTACAATTAATGGAGTCCTTGATGCGAGTATACCCGATGCTGATCTCGACAATGTGCTCTTCAGTATCCACGAAACTGTACATAAAGCAAAAAAATAATCGCACAAAAATATTAAAAAGAATTATGTATACTGCGCGGTCTGCGCGTCAATGATTCCTTTTCCGAGGTAAGGGGGGGACACAAATCTAGAGACGCTATTATGGTTATTTCTATTAGTCTATTACTAGAATTTTTATATGTTCCCCCATTACCTCAGGAAAAGACTCATTGACACGCAGTGTACGCAGTTTATTACATTTCAATACATGTTTATTTATTTTATTTTATTTCCAACAAAATGTTATTACAAATTTTTAACAAATAAAAATTGTTTCTTTAAAAATAAAAAAATGTGTGTGAAAAAATTTATTTTCTTTAATTTAGTCAATTGCATTATTAACGATAAATTTGGCGAAATTGCCAAGGTACTACTTCTTCATTGGCGAAAAACTTTGTGAACTTTTTTCGTACTTGTAAAGCTTCTCGACTTAATACTGCTTGATTTGGTTGATTTAAATTTTGAAATAAATTATTTTCAGATGTATCATTTCGTCAAATACCTAGAATTACATCTCCATTTCTTGTTTCTCTATCTACCACTGACTTGCAAAAATATGTCGACTCTTCCTTTTTTATTAAATAATTATGGAGACATATCGTTGCTTTTACAATAGCTTCAATTGTTTCTATATTTGCGCCTATTGTTCTTCGAAGTATTCTTCATTTTGCAGTAAGAATTCCAAATGTATTTTCAATAATTCTTCGAGCTCTCGATAAACGGTAGTTGAAAATTCTTTGATCAAGTGACAATTTGTTATTTTCAGAATAAGGTGTCATTAAATATGTTGTCAAGGAAAATGCTTGATCTCCAACTGCAACAAAGTGAAGAACATTATCACTGTCCAATACAGATACCGGATTTGGCACTCCCATTCTGTCTTCTTCAAAATATTTTCTCATTTTCGATCGTGAGAAAATACCACCGTCGCTCTGGCGCCCAGTAGCTTCAATATCCAACATCGTAAATGCGTAACGATAATCACATATAGCCAATAACACTTTACTATGAAATCCTTTGTAATTATAATATTCAGAACCAGCACCCGCGGAAGCCTACAAAAGAAAATAGAACAAGATATTTTTTTTGTTTCTTTTTTTAAGTCACGAAACTTTTACCTGTATGGGAATGTGTTTTCCATCGATTGCACCAATACAATTAGGAAAATTCCACTGAGATTCAAATCCTCTTCCAATTCCTTTCCAATCTTCAGTTGTTGGCAATTCTAAAACAGATGCTCGTAATTTATTCCATAATGCTGTACATGTTTCAAAAATTATATTAAAAACAGTAGATTTTCCCATTCGAAATTGGGACAATGAAACCATACTGTCTCCAGAAACAACATATCTGAAAAGAAAACAAATACATCGCAAACTGACATGTAAATTAAATTATAATTAAAATCTTACAATTATTTGCTGTACCTTAGTGTCAAAGCCAATCGCTCGCCAACAGATATAGGTCGACGTGCTATGGTTTCACGTGTTCTTTCAGTGCTAGGCCCAACTAACTGAACCAATACTTCAAAATGTGCTGCTGACATTCTAATTAGTAAACAATTCTCTATTCGTGAGCAGCAAAGGAAACAACGAAGCATAATTACCATGTACACGACGACTCTTTACTATTGGAGACTCCCAATATCGTTTCTTTTTATATGGTTTTCGTTTTTTTTTCTTGTAAATGTTCAATTATTACAGGCATTACAAGCGTTATTGCTTTCTGTAATTTTCTTCTATGATTATTCACACAATTTATATAATTGCAGTACCAGTCGTAATATGTTTGTGTTAAATTATCCATAATTGACGCACGTCGTCGACAACTGTCGCTGAAACATTAAATAATTTTTATGTTTTAATTCATTTATTTAATCAATTAATTTAGGTTTCCTTATTTTTCCTATAAAAATTAAATTTGCAAAATTTGGTAAGCATTTTAATCAAAAAATTAAAAGACCCCGCACAAAACCACGTGAAAAAGCCGTTCTACCGATTTGTGTGTGTGTGCGGGGTCCTTCGCAAAATTTAATTTTTTGATTAAAATGCTTACCAAATTTTTAATTTTGCATTTTTTTATAATTTTATAAGTATATCCTTTGCCTAAACTCATAAGTAATTGAAAAATTTTTTGGTTTTTTGTTTCAGACCGCTACAAATAACGTGACGATGGCAGCCTTTTTCCACCTCGCGCAAAAGACGCCAAATTGTGAAGTCTGTAACGCCGCCATTTTTTTTTGTAAAAAAATTTTTTTTCAGTGCTTGACCTATAATTAAAGTATGCCAAAAGTTGAAATTGATGCGATTATTTTATTACCTCTAAAAAAATTGTTCAAAAAATAGCTTATTTTCGTGCTTCTACTTAGTTTTCTCCTCTTAAGTTCTCTAATAACCACTAGAGTCGTTGTGATCGATGTTCACGTTGTGGCGAGGGACGCCGAAGGCCGGGAGCCGGGAGGGACATCCGTCATGTAAAATTTGGCGGAGTGGTTTTGTGTCAACTTCGTAGTCTCGACATTATGGGTTCGAATCTCCGTGTCCTTAAGTTTTTTTTTAATCCTTTCACAAAGCAATGTGATAAATAATAATGCTTTAAATAATTTAAGACTATAAATTAATAAAATATGTATATAAAATAAATACGAGTTTTTATTCTGAAAATTAAGAACAAATAAAAATATCTTTTTATATGTTTATTTTTATCCTTTTACTTTTATTTTTGTGGGTATTCCAGGTTGTCAATTCAAGGTAAGTATAACGAATAAAAATCAACTCTTTCATTTTATTTCTTTTTATTTTATTTTTAAAATTCTTGCAGGTATTTTTGTTTTTAAAATTAAGTATACTTAGATACGAGAGAAAATATAAATCAATCTTTCAATTTTTGCCATTTTATTTTATTTTTTACAGGTATTCCGAAGTTGAAATGGACAGTGTTTGGCTGCATTCAAAAAAGTATTGCAAGGTAAGAAACAATGATATTATTGAGTTAGGGTCAAAGCACGTAATATTGCGTAGCGATAAATGACTGTCATATAGTTGACTAATGAATAAGGTGCTTACGTTTTGCTTACAAAACTTACTTGTTACGAAGTAGATAATACAATCGAGGATAGGGGAAAGGGCATAATCATGTTCAGAATGAGGATTAATGACATCTTCCGCCTCTCAATCGTCATGTTGCAATACAAGGTCGAGTTTTTCCTTTATTTTTCGCACATATTCCGCATTTTTGCCCTCACGTTTGTTGCCGTAAATTGCTTTGTAACGATGCGCCCCTTACAACAAGGCATCGTCCCCGGCTACCACC